ACCCCCTAATGAATGACCTAATTCATTTTAATTAAAGGTCCAAGCCATACTTCATCTTCAGCAGTAGCAAAATCAGCATGGGGCTTCAGATCTTTTGGAGGAGCTCATTTGTGCCAGGCCCTTCACAAGAGTTTGCCATCCCTGCCCCTTGCTGATAAAACAGAGACTTTTGCTCCCTTGCCCAAGCATGGTAATTAGGAATGAGAACAGAAGGGATGAGGAAATTGGGTTTGCTTCAGAGGAAACTGGAGACCTGGACACTTTTCAGATGTCTGTTCAAACGGCCATATCATCCCCCTCTTCCAGGCAACAGATTTTCTTAGAAGGAATTTTTTTTCAGTACTTCTGGCTTCATCAAGGATATGTGTGCGTGCGTGTGTGTGTGTGCGTGTGTGTGCGTGTGTGTGTGTGTGTGTGTGTGTGTGTGTGTGTGTGTGTTTAATCATAAATACACAGCAGTATTGACAATACTTTAATACTTTCTCCTTATGGGATGAGGCAGGATTTTACAGTGGAAAAAATCTATTTAAAGAAGTTGACAGTCATTAACTCCTTAGAGTATCCAAAATTGGAAGATAGATTTAGATTTGGGCCCTCATAGGATCATAAGAGGTAGAGCTTGTCTAGTTTGACCCCATCATTTTATAGAGAAGGAGATGGGGGTCCATAGAGATGGAATTACCCAATATTTTCCCCAATTTTCTTGTAATTTCCTTGAGAGCAGATCTTTTCTTTGTCTTTATGTCCTCAGCACCAAGCAAAGTAACACGGTGCTTAAAATATGCTTGATGAATGAATTCATTAAATGACTTCACCTATCTAGTAAGTAGCAAGGGCTTAATTCAAACCCAGGTCCTCCAACTCTGAACTATGCCAAAGGGTCTCCTCCTCTGCTATGAGGTCTCTCTGACTCTTGTTTTCATTTCCATCTGGAAAATCAATATGTTCTAAAGTAACACTTTAGTGTTATATTGATAATAGAAGGAGAAGGAGGAGGAAAAGGATAAGGTCCTTGTAGTGTATCTTTGGGATGCTGTAGGTTTCAGTGTGAAAAAGAGACACAGGTGCCACTCCTTCCATGAGGACATTTCCTCCCCATCTTTTATCATTGTGGGGCCAGCTCAATCAAGGAGATCAATGCTTGTAAATCTGAGGGGGGTATTTAGAAAATTCAAGAAGTAGTCAAAATCCTGGTGTAGGTTCCTTTGAGGGCTCACAGGCTGTCTTGGGGGCTATGACTGAGTTAGAATGGAAGAGGAGGTATCCATGACAGTGAGTATTCTCCTTGTAGTGCTTGAGATTAGAGGGAAAGTAAGAAAGTTATTGAAGGGAAGTGTAGAGGCAGAACCCTCTTCTCATGGCTTAGAAATGAGACTGAGGTGGTAAATTCTGTGAGGAATCTGAAAGAGCTCATGGCGGTTAATGTGGACACTGAGGACTCCAGTCTCAGGACAGATACAAAGTCAGGAGAAAAGTGAGAATGAGTGAACACTGAGATTGGGGACTCTTTACTCTGGAGCTCAGCTCCTTCCCTTACATGATCTTCAAGAGGTACCGTGGTGAAAATATATGATCATCTTTTGGCCAACCTCCTCATGAAACTCCTAACATAACTAGTCTGATCCTCAAACAACAAGCAATAAGCAATAGACCAACAATTTGTCACTAGGTGTGTATGTGAAGTCTTTTTCACTTACTAACATTTGCCCCAGGTGATGTTCCATCTATAGAAGCTTTGAGAACCCAGGTTTTCCTGCAGACCTCCATGTACCACTGAAGGAGGTTTTTGAGAGAAGACTGAGCAGAACACGATGCATCCACGCTTAGGAGATCCAGGTGAGTGGGCAGCTGGTGGATTAATCTCTTAGTTCCAACTACGCCATCTATGGTTTTATTAACAATATGTTTATGTTGCCTTCATATCAAGGATAGCATATCATATCAAAGGATAATGGAGCATTCTGGGATACAAAAATTAATGGTTTTGGCCATGTATTTTCTATCTTTTTAATTCATTGTCCTATGTGCAATAGGTCAGAGATGTCAGATAACATAGTCTCAGAGAAGCTAAATGTAATAAGGAGAAGGAGAAGGAGGATGAAGAGTAAAAGGAGGAGGGCAACTGGAGGAATTATCACAGACTGACCTCTTACTCGTGATTGACAAGATATAATAAATTGATGCACAAAAGTTCAAGAACAACATTTTAAATAGATATTTCCAGATCACACACTTGGAATCTCCAAGCTACATCGAACAATTGTTTTTTAAATACAGCCCTAATAGAAAATATATGGAAGTAAGTGAGAACAGTAGCCTAATATGAAATCCAAAGATCGCAGCTATTGTGGCAGGAACTCACTAGATATACACAAACTCATTGCACTAAGAAGAGAAGTTCCAAATGGATACATGATTTATGTATTAACAGTGACACCATAAACAAATTAGAAGACTGTGGAAGAAATTACTTATCAGATTTACACATGAATAAGACAATGATCAAAGAGAGATAGAGAAGTTCATGGGAGGTAAAATGGATCATTTTCATGACATAAGATTAAAAAAAAGGTTTTTGCAGAAACAAAATCAAAGCAGCCAAAATGAAAAGAGAAGGGGCAGCTAGGTGGCACAGTGGATAGAGCTCTGGCCTTGAAGTCAGGAGGACATGAGTTCAAATCCAGTCTCAGACACATGACACTTACTAGCTGTGTGATCCTGGACAAGTCACTTAACCCCTATTGCCTCACCAAAAAAGGCAAAAAAAAAAATTAAAAGAGAAACAGGTAAATGGAGGGGGGGGAAATCTTTGCAGCAAATTTCTTTCATAAAGATCTAATTTCTACAATATTTGGTCAATATGTAATAGAGTCAAATTTGTAAGAATAAGAACCACTCCCCAATGGTCAAAGGATATGAATAGTCAGTTTCAAGAAGAAAGAATCCAATGTATCAATAGCCACATGAAAAACTGTTCTAAATCACACATAATTAGAAAAATGAGAATTAAAACAACTCTAAAGTTTCACTTTGTACGCCTCAGATTGGCAAAGTTAACACAAATGAAAATTATAAATGCTGGAGAAGCCAAGAGAAAAGAGATATTTTGGTGGACCTATGAACTGGTCCAGTTGTTCTAGAAAGCATCTTGGAAATATGTCCAAAAAGCTATTAGACTGTGCCTATTTTTTTTTCCAGTGACTCTGCTACTAGATTTACCCATTGAAGAGATCAAAGGAAGAGGAAGAGGACCCACATGTACAAAAATATTTATAGCAGCTCTTTTCATGGTAGAAAAAAATCCCCTGGAAACTGAGGAGGTGTCTGGCAATTGGGGAATAGTTGAACAAATTATGGTTTACGTATGTATGATGGGATGATATCGTGCAGTAGGAAATGATGCAGACAACCTCAGGAAAGCCTGGGAAGACTTGTACGAGCTGATACAGAGTGAAGTGAGCAGAACCAGAAGAGAATTTACAGAACAGCAACAATATTGTAAAGTCAACTTTGAAAGACCTGAGAACTCTAATCAATGGAATGGCCAACCACAGTTCCAGAAGAAGCATGACAAATTATGCTACCTACCTTCACGTAGAGAGGGGATGGACTCGGTGCAGATTGATACATAGAGTCTTTTTATTTTTTGGACATAGCTAATGCAAAACATCTTGACTATGTATTTTTAGAATAGATTATGTTTTTCTTTCTTTCCAAAAGTGGGGAAGAGGGGGAGAAAGAGAGTTCCAAGCTAAAAATAAAACTGAATTTTAAAAGAAAAACAACTTCCAGAATGAATACTTTGGAATGTTGCAGAAATAACTCCATATTAAATAATACTCATAAGAAAAAAGAAAAAAAGAAAAACCCTAAGTCAAACTATTTTGGGAACAAGAAGAGATATATCTCACCATTATTATTTTGTCCTCTCCTATGCTGACCCAAAGATGCTCCAGATGAGCTTAAATCCCACTATTTTATTCAATGACAAAAATCAGTCATTTTCTCCACCTGTGCAATACTTTGTAGAATATTAAATATGAAAGAATAATAACAGGATGATAACTTGTCCCCTGAGCCATTTCTATCTGAACTCTATAAAAAAGATGAGAAGAGATGAACAAAAACAATAATGATAATAGTGGACATTTATAGAGAACCTCAAAGTTTGCAAAGCCCCCTATATATATATCACCTCTTTGGAACCTCACAACAATCCTGTGAATTAGGTGTTATTATTAATCCATTTTGTAGATGATTAAACTGAGGCAGACAGAGTTAAGTGACTTGCCCAGGGTCACAATCTAATAAATATTAGAGGTGAGATTTGAACCCTGCTCTTCCTTATTCCAAATCCAGAATCCTCTTTTTAGAAACTAATTCTTAGCTTTAAAAATATATATATACATAGGGGCAGCTAGGTGGCACAATGGATAGACCATCGACTTTGGATTCAGGAGGACCTAGTTCAAATCCAGCCTTGGACACATAACACTTACTAGCTGTGTGATCCTGGGCAAGTCACTTAACCCCATTGCCTATCCTAAAAAAAAAAAAAATTATACATGATTAGAGTCAAAGTCATGCCCTACAATATAGGTGCCTTATAAGAGTATATCCTGCAAAACAGGATATACTTTCATATTTGCTGAGCACAAGCAATTGTTTTAAAAATAATGACATTTCTTGGTCTCTTTCTTGTATCTCTCTCTGCCCTGATTTGATCCTTTACTTCTTTCTCATTGTTGTTATTAATTCTCATCACAGAATGAGTCATGACCATTTGCTAAACATCTCCTGTTCTCTGCACCAAGCTAAGATTTCAGATGGATGTCTATTCTTTTCCTCTAATGACCTAAATATGTTATTCTAGGTACCAAAGGGAATGGGAATCAGGTTTCCTTGGAAAATGGATGGATGGCTCACCTCAATAGTCCCAGTGGGCCTGCCAGTGACAGGAATGCACAGTCAGGATGTTTCATTAATAATTTTTTAGCAGGTGGGTTTGGAAATATGCCCTTAATGATGATTCATGGCAGGAAATATTTAAAACTAAATAACAGAAATGAAAAGGGAAAAATAAATTCAGGAAGGAGTGGAGGAAGGAAGGGGCAAGGTGTGGGTGGAAGAGCAGTACATTTTCATTATAGATTAGAATCACAGATTTACATGGACCTTAAGAGGCCGCTTGATGCATCCATACCTGAAAATGAATCCCCTCTATGATATACCCAACAAGTGTTCATCAAATCTCTACTTGAAACATCCATGGAGGAGAGATCTCACTAGGTTCATGCTGGCTATATTTGTGTTTTTGTACCTTATACCTGTTATTCTTATTTCTGCCATCCGGGGTGAAGTAGGGCAAATCTAATCCCTCTTCCACATGGCAATTCTTCAAATAACTCTAAGGTGGCTGTCACGTCTCCTACTGAGTCTTCTCTTCTCCAAGTTAAACATTCCAGGTTCCTTCAGTGTATCCTTACATGCTACAGTCTTGAGGACTTAGCCATCCTGGTCAACCCCACTCTGATTGTTCTTCAAATTAGTAGTGTTCTTTTTCTTAAAAATATTTATTTAATATTCTATTTTATCCCAATTATACATAAAAATAATTTCTAACATTTTTTAAATTTTGAGTTCCAAATTCTCTCTCTCCCCCCTCATTGAGAAGGCAAGCAATTTGATATTTGTTATATAGGTAGGTGCAGTCATATAAAACATATTTCCCTATTAGTTGTGTTGTGAAAGAAAACATAGATTGAGAACAAAAAATGATAAAAAGGATTAAAAAAGTACACTTCAATCTACATTCAGATACCATCAGTTCTTTCTCTCATATTGAAAAGCATTTTTCATCTTAAGTCCTTAAGAATTGTCTTGGATCATTGTATTGCTGAGAATAGTTTAGTCATTTATAATTGATCATTTTGAAATAGTGCTGTTACTGGGTACAATCTTCTCTTGGTTCTGCTCCTTTCACTCTGCATCAGTTCACATAAGTCTTTTTAGTCTTTTTTTTTTAGCTTTTTTCCTCCCAGTTACACGTAAAAACAATTTTTAACATTCACTTTTAAAATTTTGAGTTCCAAATTCTTTCCCTCTTCCCTTCCCCCCACCCCTGCATTAAGAAGGCAACAATTTGATATAGATTATACATGTGTAGTCATGCAAAACATTTCCATAATAGTAATGTTGTGAAAGAAAACATAGACAAAAAACTCAAGAAAAATAAAAAAAAAGTTTTGAAAAAGTATGCTTTAATCTGTATTCAGAACCATCAGTTCTTTCTCTGGGGATGGATAGTATTTTTTCCCCGTTAAGTCCTTCAGAGTTGTCTTAGATCATTGTATTGCTAAGAATAGCTAACTCATCCACAGCTAATCATCTTATACTACTGCTGTTACTTTGTACACAATACGTTTCACTTTGCATCAGCCCGCACCAGTCTTTCCAAGTTTCTCTGAGAGCATCCTAGATTAGTAGTGTTCTTATTCACAACTGAACTCAGTACTTTAGATGTAGTCTGACCAGAGAAGAGTACCGCAGAACCATCACCTCCTGGCAACTATGCCCCTCTAATTAGAGTACAAGATCATATTAACTTATTTTGCAGCCATGTTTCACTGTTCATTTACATTGAGTTTGTAAAAGTAACCAAATGCCTTCAAAGAGCTTGAAGGCTGTAGCATTCTTTTTTCTTTTTTTCTTTTTTTTTGGCAATTGGGGTTAAGTGACTTGCCCAGGGTCACATAGCTAGTAAATGTTATGTGTCTGAGGTGGGATTTGAACTCAGGTCCTCCTGAATCCAGGGCCGGTGCTCTATCCACTGAGCCACCTAGCTGCCCCCAGTGCATTTTCTTAATGTAGAATTTTCTTCTCTGAGAAGTGAATGAATGAGTGAGTGACTATATGAATGAAAGAATGAAAACATATTTATTAGGTTCTTCCAATGTGCCAGACAGAAATGAAGCTGTTGCAGAAATCACTACCGTCTGGACAATCTACACCCAATTCAAAGATTCTTAGCTTTTCAAACTCATGAGGTTACCACCAGAAATCTGTTACCTGTTACCTGTTAGTCTCTGTGTCTCAGAATGGCTTTTCAATGACCTGTGCTCAAAGAAGAAAGCAAATTGCCAGAGTCAGACAGAGACTTGAGGTCCATTCTTAGGCTTCCCCGAGGCAAGCACATGTTCTCGTTGCAATCCACTTGTAGGCACCGTTGTTACTGGTGGGAGAGGGGAGAGAGTCCAAACAACAGGGCGTGTTAGAGGAGTCCAAAATAGGCTGGCCAACAAGAGGTGGAACTTTTCTCCTCCTCATTCCTCTTGTAGTGTAATGAGGGGGAAGCTGTTTACTTTCCTGACTCATTCTGATGACCTCTGAATACCTTCCATGAAATTTCAAGATCATAACTTAATGGATTATAGGATTCAGACCTGGAAGGGACACCTGAAAGGTACCTTATTGGCCATCTGGTCCATCCATCTTGTTTTACAAACGAAGGAATTATACAAAGACAAATTGGAATAATCCCTTCTCTCAAGAAGCTTGCATTCTAGATTGAGGGAGACAACATATACATAATCACATGTAATAAAAAGAAGGAGGTACATTTCTTTGTCTCTTTTTCTGGGTTCAAAATTTAACCTGTTCATTACAGATAAGGAAACTGAGGCACAGAAAGGTTAAGTGATTTGTGCACAGCTTATAAGTAGCATAACCATGATAAAATCAAGTCCTCTGTTCCCAAATCCAGAGCTCTTTTTACAAGCCCTATTATTCCATTTAGCTTTATAATTAGATAGAATATGCCTGCCCTTGAAGTATGATATTAAGGGTCATAAGGTAATAATAATAGATACTATTTATATAGCACTTCAAGATTAAAAAAGCACTTATATTTTATAGTATTTGATCCTCATAACACCCATGTGAGGTATTGCTATTATTTTCCCCTTTTACAGATAAGTAAACTGAAGTATGGAGACGTTAAGTGATTGGCCCAGGACCATTCAGAGAGTAAGTATCTGAGGAAGGATTTAAACTCAAATCTTCCTGACCCTGAGTCCACTACACTATTCAGTATATCACCTGGCTGTTTCTTGTCCCAAAATTTCAACCCCACTGCCTCTCATTCTATCATTATAGTCTCATCATTTGGGATCATAAAACATTCACCTAGACTCAAGAGTATCCCATTCAAATGCAACTGGCCTTAGTTATCCTTTGACCCAGAATCACAGAATTTAAGAGATGAAAGGTATCCTAGCAACCATCTAACCAAGCCAGTACATGAAAGGGATTCCCACTACAACACACCTAATAAGTGGTATAGTCATAAAAGTGCTGAATGTGAAGTCAGGAAAACCTGGAATCAAATCCTACCTCTCACAATTATTAGCTCTATGACCATGAGAAATTCACTTAACCTCCCTGAGCCTGTTTTCTCATCTGTAAAATGAAGGGGTTGGACTAACGTCCTCTGAGGTCCTTTCCAACTCTAAATCTATGATCTATATGGTTTTCCAGCTCTGTCAGAAGATACCCAAGGAAGGGGAAACTATCATGTCTTGAGACAGTCCAGCTAACCCCTTGATAGTCCATAGGTCCTTTGACAACTAAAGGTAATGCGAAGATTCTGTGAAGATGTGACACTTATTTGGAAGGATTAGGGGAAAGAGAAAGAATTATAGGTAGACAAAGAAGGAAGACCCTGGAAAGAATAAGTTGCCCACTTCTCTGTGCCCCAGGGTCCCTGGAATGAGACCTAGAACCTCAAAGGGAGGGTGGCACTTAGAATCCAGAAACTTTCATTGTGACCTGGATGGGAGTGGATTGCACCTGTCCACCTTCCATGTGACTTCTGAAGTTCTTCAGGAGAGGAAGGGAAATATTTCCCTGAAAATATTCTCTGAAAATGGCAGAATCCAGGTCAGGATGATTAGCTCACAAATTTGATTCAATTACTGTGAAGGCTTGCTTTCTCCACCTAGTGGTAAAGAAAAGAAAAGGATGAGGTAGGAAAGAGAAAAAGGAAAAAAAAAAGAGAGAGAATTAGAATAGAAAGAATGGGGGAAGAAAAAGAGGACCAGAGACTTTATATATTAGAGATCATTTAGTCTAAACTCCTTATTTTAAACTGGAGGAAATTGAAGCCCTAAGAAAGGAAATGACTTGTCCGAGGTAACACTGGCAGACTGTGGATGACAGAGTGGGAAAAAATGCAGACCTTGGAATTGGAGGACTTGGGTTCAAGGGCCAGCTTATATGCCTCTTACTGACTGACCTCAGCCAAGTGAAAAACTTTCTGAACCTCAAGTTTCTAATTTGTAAAAACGAGTAGGTTGAACTAGATCAGAGACTTTTAACCTTTGTTTATGTGTGTCATGAGTCCCTTTGGCAGATGTGATTTCCAAGGACCCTTCTCAGAACAGTGTTGAAATGTATGAAATACATAAGTTTACAAAAGCTTACTATATTGAACTAGTTATCAAAATCTAAAAATAAAAATCACAGACCCCAAAGTTAAGAGCTCATGAAAAGTAATGTTAAACTTTTATCCAAACAATGAATTATGGAATTTTAGAATCAGAAGGCATTATCTAGAGCCAGGGGTGGGGAACCTGTGGCCTGAGGTCACATGTGGCCCTCCAGGTCCTCAAACATGGCTGTGAAGTTCGGATTCAGTCAAAGGACCACTCTTGAGGACCTAGAAGGCCACATGTGGCCTCAAGGCCACAGTTTCTCCACCCCTGAATTCTAGATCAAACCCTCATATTTTCCTGATGAAGAAACTGAGTCTCAGAGCAAGATTAAAAGACTTGCCTTAGGTCACACAGTTGGGTAGAGAAAGAGTCAAAACTCAAGTCAGGATAATGGGTTTTATTCAACCATCTGACATTTCAGGAGCAATTTGTTTCTGTTCCTAAAATCATTGTTCAAGGTACAACATCAGATCAATAAAGCAAACAAAAATGTGCAATGAATCAAGGAGTTTATTTCATTGAACCAGGGGCTTCCGAGTTGTCTATGGTACAGTTTGTCTCCCTCACCCTTGCCCCCCCCCCCAATTTGCTGCAAACCACTGATATAGCTTGTTTTCTACAGAATAATTTTAAGATTCAAATCTGAAATCTGCCAAGCAACTTGACTGCTCTTTAGGGCTCCCAGCCAGGTCCATACATGGTTTTCCTAGATTGCCCAGAAATGTCAACTGTGACACAATCCAGTCTTTGCTTAATCTTAAAGGTATCTTCTTTGCTTACCTTTAACCTTGCCTCCATTTCTTTTTCCTGTTTCTTTTTCTTTAGCTCTTCTCCTTTTCTTCCTTTTGCCCCATTTCCTTCTTCTCTGGCATGGGCATAGGACTTTCAAGGTACAAAAGCGATGGGTGGAGATGCTTCTGGGGGAAGGGTAAGAATAGGGATCAACTCTATCATAGCACGTCAAGGCAACTGGTTGATACCGCATGATTCCCATTCCTACCACAACTTTGAGAATTTCTGCTTGAGATGATGCTCCATTTGCCAGAGCTGACTTTTGTTTACAATATGTCTATGTGTTGAGGGAACTGGGAGTGTTTATCCCAAAGAAGAGAAAACTAAGGGTCAGAAGTCATGACTGCTGTCTTTGAGTATTTGAAAGACCATCAATAGGTAAGGGATTGAGCTTACTCTGTTTGGCTATAGAGGGAAGAATTACGAACAATGGGTGGACATGGAAGAGACAGAGATTAGTTTGTGAAGAAAAGCTTCACAACAATTATTCTAACGAGTAAGGCTGTCCAGAAGTAAGATGTTCTGCTTCAGGAACTCATGGCTTTTCCTTCAAACTGGAGATTTTCCAAGTGGCAGCTGGATGGTCATTTGTTGGGAATATTGAAGAGGGATTCCTGTAGGATGGTTGCCATGATCCTTTCCTCTGCTGAGAACCTGATTGCCCCATGCTCACTAATCATTTACCTCTCTTCATTATGAAATTTGGGGAATCAGATGCACATATCCTATGGAAGATAATCACCTTACAATCATATCTCCTCTTTCTTCTACTTCTATTGGTCTATATGAAGAGTAATGGTCATTAACTCAGCATGTTACTTGAACTAATGAATGGAAAAAAAACCCTTATTAAGTGTTCCAAGCATTGTGTAAGCACCAGGGATACAAATACTAAAGTGAGACAGCACCTGCCTTCAAGTAATTTACCTTCTTATATAGGAAGATGACACATAGAGGGAAGTGGAGACTCAGGAAGGGTCTTTAGATCTGTGAAGTCACAGAGATAGTGATTCCACACAGAACAGTTCACTGTACCAGAGGTAATGCTGGTGTTGATTTGACTATAGTTTTGAAAAAGAGGGTAGAAAGTGGGTCTGGGAGGGGGAGTGAATCAGGATTCCTGGCCACAGGGAACCTGGAATTGAGTGGCTTCACTTCTCTAGGACATAGTCTCTGGCAGTCCTTTGGGGAGTGGCGGCAGCAATAAAAGTTGCCAAAGCCTCTATTGGTAGCTGAGTTTGTCTTAGCCAAGTAGTGGGTGGCTCCTTTCAAATTACAGCCCCAGCTAATACATCTCTACCAGTGTTCCGTGTTTGAGTCATCCATTATTACTTTTTCAGCATTCTATGTGAACCTTGCTTTGGTTTTTCCTATAAAGAAATGTTCAGTCTTTTTAGCATGACAGAGGTAGTGGAAAGAGAGCTCATTTACATCAGGGAAAGTATGAAAGAAATGGACAAAGATCATTTCACAAACATATCCAAAAATGATTTCCATGAACAGTTTAATCATAATACCAGACAGGCTCTCTCCCATCATCTTTTCTTAGTTTCATAGTTGACTTTATTAGCACACGGTCCCATTTTATGTGGACCATGACAATGCTTGGCTCATTTCTCCCATGGGAAAGCAAGTACTAATGAATGTTGCAATATTTGGAGTTTAGATTGAATGAATGAGTGACAAAAGCATTTAAGTGTTTACAATGCTCAAGACATTGAGCAGCACCTAGGTGACCATTTGCTATGCTGTCCTCTGACATGATACTTCATGTCTCTTCATACTTCAGGTAGATATCGGGCTAAATGATTTTGATGTAGTAGATAGCCCAATGGATTTGGAGTCAGGAAGATCTGGGTTTAGATTTCATCTCAAAATGTCACTATCTGTGCCAGTCTGGGCAAGTCATAATCTCTCTGAGCCATCCATAAAATGAGGGGATTGGATTTGATCACCCCTAATTGTCATTTAAATCTATGTTCCTACAACTTCTGAGATGTCTTTCACCTGAGATTCTATGATATCTCTAAGTATGCACCTGAGCCCTGGCTATAGGGACTTTCTTTGGACAAACCTACCAAGAGAAGCCCCTGTGACCACTTCCTGTGCTGTCCTCATTGAATTCATTCACTAGTATGTTTTATTTTAATTCACTATGACCTCTTTGGATGAAAAGCTCTTAGAAAAAAAAAAGATTGTATCAGGTCTGAACTCTCAGCCTGGGACCAGGCTTTTTCACTCAAACCATCATGTATCATCTTCCACACAACTGCTGTTGACTTTTCTTTGTATCCTCTGTGCTAAATAAAATTTACATATATTTTACAACATTCCTACAAAATACGCACAAAATAAATTTTAAATATTTTAAAATAATTTTTTAAAAATAAATTTCATGTGAATGTTTGTTAACTGACTAACCATGCTCCAAAGTTGCTAAATTGTACATATCCTTCAATTCAGCACTACTATGGCTGGGCCTATAACCCAGGAAAGGAAGGAAAGAAACATACATTTATTAAGTGCCTACTATGTGCCATGCACTGTGCTAAGCACTTTACAAATATTGTGTCATTTGATCTTCATAACAATCCTGGCAAGTAGGTGTCATTATTATCCCCATCTTCCAGTCACGGACAGAGGCTGTGACTTGCCAAGGGTCATCCAGCTAGTAAGTGTCAAAATATGGTTTTGAACTCAGGTCTTCCTAACTTCATGTGACACATTGTGCTATCTAGCTTTCTCCTGACAGGGAAATCAAAGAAAAAGGAAAAGAATCATGTCTAATATGTTTAGCTCTATTTGTTTCAGCAAAGAATTGGAAGCTAATAATATCCTTTATACATGTATAAGTATGTGAATCATCTGGGACTTTGTCAACATGGGACACTCTTGGTATGAAAGCTCCCTCTACCAGCTCATTGCCAAACCACGTATAATGTAGGAGATCAGTCCAAAGGGACTGCTTGAGGCACATAGGTGAGAAAGGGAATTTCCCAGGGCCACACAATTGATA